GTTCATTCTTTTATAGAGAAAAACTTGGAATTAGGAAACAAAACACATCAAGTGCAAGATTAGGTTTGTAAGCACGTTATAAAAGTTTTCTAATAATTTTCCTCCTTTAATTTGGAAGGGAGCCTCTATGATTCCTTTCAAGTCAGACAAATATTATCATCTTAAAAAGACTGCAGCATGCATCAGATAACAAGCTTTAATTTATTTAGTCCAGACTTACTTGTTTTAGCACCTGAAGTACCAAAGGCACTTGCTGAGGATACAGCAAACCCTGAGACATTAATGATAGACACATCTTTGCATCTCTTTTGAGCTCATCATAGCTATTGTCATTTTCTACTGGAGCAATCTATAGAGCAGGATTGGGAGGGGGAGGGGAAAAAAAAAAAAAGGCTAGAGTTAGTAAATAAGCATTGTTAAAAGTAAAATCCTGAAAGAAAACTGTCCCTGAATGAGATTAATAACAATAATGTTGAAATAGTCTCAACAATAAAAAAACTTACATGAAGTGTAATGAATTAAGAAATTCCTGTTCACTCCAGAGAAAGGACATCTAGTGGAGTTTGACATTTTGTGTTGAACCATATTGCACTTAGTCTGCAGCTACTCTGTAGTCTTAGAGAGAATTACATATGTGCTATTAAGGCTCTGATTGTGCATGACAATGTTTTTGGTGGCAGACATCTCATTTATGGATACGGACCCAAAACTGAGGTAAAGTTGTATTACTATTTTAAGTTTAATTTGGAATTTACTTCTTTGTTTGGGGGTAGCACATACATCATATCACAGTTTAGGGGGAATACTCCAGGGGAACATAAACATCAGTCAATTATCCAACAATAACCGAAGTGAGACGTACACTTTGCAGCATGCTAGTATGCATTCTTTCAGATGCATAGCATTAAAGACACACAACCACACATTATCCTCCCACCCAAGCCTGCCTTTAGAAACTGCCCCTAAAAGCTTGTTCCTTGCATCAAATTCACTCTGTGGGGCAAACATTAACTGGTATCTTTTGAGTGCAAGGTTATTGACCCAACTTCACCAAAAAATACAAGGATTAGAGGTGTCAGGAAAAACGTAAGAGTAGAAGTACCATTTAGAAGAACTGTCCAACTATGGAACAAAAGGAAAAAAGCTCGAGATAATTATCAAAACAGAACAACACAATTCTTCATGAACTAAACACTTTTTTCCCCCAAAACATTCTATAAATGTACAGAAAAATACTCATCTAAAAGTATTTGCATTATTTCAGAAAACAGGGCAACAACTACATTATCGGCTCTAAGGTTACATAAACATAGAAAAAACATTTGGGCCTCCTCAATTCACTTATTTTTGTTGTTGGTATTGGCTTTCTTTTTATTTAAAAAGTTCCTTATAACTGATTTACAGGTAGAATCAGTTTCTAATCAAACATGACAAGTAGCACAGCAATCAAAACGGATACCTTGAAAAACAACGGTAAAAGTTCGAGTTGCTCTGTGACAGCTGTAGAAAAGGACCTTCCTGCACTTGCCATCAACCACTTCAGAACTGTTTTTAAGAGGAGAAATGATCATTGTTAAAGAAAAGAAACAAAAACAGATACAGAGGCACCTCCTGCTCCCCAGCACCTCCAAACACACAACCCACATAACAAATTATAGACCAAATTCTAACTGGCAAGACTAGCAATGGCAAGACTAGCCTGGAAGATTTCACAAACATCAGAGCAGACCTATACTAGCTGTTAAGTTTAACCCTTCATTCAGATACTAAATCTCCCTTAGTTGCCTTTTAACCAGTACTGTATCATCTCAATCTTATAACCTGAAGCATAGACCAGAAGATATCTCTCTGTTACAGCAGAGATCCAAGAGGCAGAATGTTGTAGTGCAACCCTGCGATTTGCAGTCCTCAATCATAATGTCCTAACACACTCCATTTCTTAACCTCCCTAGGCAACTCACTAGTTTTCAGGAGCTTGATGCCTTGAGTTCGCTCATCTTGATCACCAATTCCGTTCTCTTCCGTAACATGATTCTGAATTTCTTCATCTACTTCCATAAGGGGTTTAAGATGTTCAAGTATCCGAGTAGTAAATTCATGGATGCGAGGTGACTTAGTTACAGCAGTATTTGGCAAGGAAACATCTATCATAAATATGTAGGTCAAAACACTAACGAAAAAAAACACACATGAACACAAGAAGGTCACACAGTTAACACGACAACAGTTTAGAGACCACAGCTAAAAGCAATCAGTAATCACTTTGATGAGCTTTACAGTTCAATACTTCTAAAACAAGTTTCGCTTTAAAGTTACTTGGAAACAAATGTTTTCCAGATATCCTCTATAGAGTCAAGCAGGGTTAGATAACAGTCAGTAAACTACAACCCTCCCTGCCCCCAGCAACAGGCCTGCTGCTAGTTCTTTTAAATTACTGAAATGCTTTATAAAGGAGTCCCTGTATATTTTCAGCTCTATTAAGGCTTAGGCACAGCACATTTGGTTTTAGAGCTTTAGAGATCCTGAATGTGAAAAATGACAGGTTAGGTACAATAAAAGGCAAAAACAGATGATGTCAGAAACTTCTGGAGCAAGTCTATAAAATAACAATTTATATCACTTCTATTAAGTGGTATTCACACACAGAGATAAAACAAGGACTACAGGCAACGAGTGCAGAAAATATGTCAAGAACAAGAGATCACTGACCTTCCTATCCTCTCTCTGACATTTTTGTAAACTTGTGTGAGTTTAGGTTCCAAATACTTCAGCAGTCTGTGCAACAGCTCTGGTACTCGCCACTCCTGTTGTGCAAGGCCGCCTTGCAGCACGTAAAGTCGGCTACAAACCAGAAGAGAATTATTTGTAGTCATGCCACAGCTCGCCCTCCCTTCCCCTGCCCCCTCAAAGACTTCTGAATGTTTTGTGTGTCCATGCATCTAAATGTCCTTGTGTGAAGTGCCCGCAAAGATGAGTAAAAATGGAACAATATTACTGCAATGCCAGGGCTTAACCCTCACAAGGCACCATTTAGAAGATTCAATTACATTAAATAAGGAAGAAAAAAAAAAAAAAAAAGAAAAAAAAAAGAAAAGAAAAAGAAAATGTGACCACATGGAGCACAATAAATGAAAAGTGGCCCTACTTCTACAGTCTTTCAAAATACGGTCTCAGTGTACTTCGTCCATACTTTCATTTCCTTCTTTATTCAACCACACTAGAACAGTTAAACATTCCTCTTACCATGCATCTACAAACGATCCTCCTTCACCACTCAGTGGGGACTCCAACAGCAATTCAAATAACCAATGCAGTTTCCGGGGATCTCTGCTCTCCTGAAAAGTAGGGAGACAGATACAGCAAGACAGGAATTTTAATGTAAATAATATAAAGCAAGAACATTTTTGACAATGGCTCTTTGTATCTCTTGGGTTTATTTTATTATAAATGTCTTTCAAAATGAAAACTAATATGAAGAACCCACACTTAAACAGGCTTTTAATTGTCTGTTCTTATAGTAATAAGAAGGTCAACCATTTTAAATTAATTTTTGACATATTTGAACAACCCTTTCTATCATGGATGTTTCATTATTGCTAGGACTGACAAGCTATGCTAAATTTTGCTCACTGATCCAAAGTATTTGTAGCCTATCATTTATCAGGCTTCTTGGACACTACGATTCCCAGACATCCCAGAAGTCTTATGATACATTAGGAAATAACTTGGGATCCCAGTTTTCACAGCAGACTGCCGTGCTGCGCAGTTTTTTAATGTAAGAAAATATACGTAATGATTTCAGAAACACTTCTGAAAAGATTTCAGAAAAGACTGAACAATGGCAAACACCTAGTAAAAGCAAACATCAACACCACCCACTAACCTTACACAACTTGTACTTAGTTACTTAGAACGAAACCGAAGGTACATATTTTATTTCCTTGTAAAGTGCAATATAAACCTATTTTCTTCTCTCCCTTACAAATAAAAGTTTTCTGAAAAGTTGCAAGATTTAAGATAGGATCATTTTCTATTATATTTAACACTTAGACTGTATTTGCCATTTTTATCTGAAAAAAGTACCAGAATACCTCAATTCATAAAACTTCAGATAAAACTTGACATATTATCTGTAAAGCGTGAACCAATAAGGCAGAATGGAGTACTTACACAGGAGGTTGCTATGCATGTGCCCCAATCATTATACGTTTCCACTGTAATGTTGGATAAAGCTGTTCGAAGTAATGGGCACAGAAACTTCCAAAGTTTTTCCACCTGCTCAGCAGGCAAGCAAAAAACAGAATTTGTTTATTCATGAATAAAATGGCTGTTTAATCCCTATGAAACCAAATCCTCTTATCTTCCCAAAACACGGAAAAATAACACTGTTTTTCAAAGCAAATAGTATGATAGGTATAAAAGAAAATAAATACCAAAGCTGCTATTTCAGAAATCACTTCAATTTTGTTTGCAAGATGTTTGGAAATGCTGTGGGTTAAATACGCACCTTTTTCACACAGATTTAAGAAAAATCGTATCAATGACTGCACACACTTGCACTTTTATAGGAGGGCTATTCTTGCAGCCTTCTCCACCTTCGCACTGGGAGTACCATTTTCTGAGCCCTTTCTACTCCATGGCTTCTTGAGGTGCCATGCCACTGTAGGAGCATCCCTAATCCAGGCTAAGTGGTGCAACAGTACTCCCCCCCAAAGCCCACGTGCACCTCTCTATTTGGACTCAAGACCAGGATGGCAAAATGTTTTTGAACTGACAGGACAGTCAAAACGCAATTCTGTACCCAGCTATCATTAAACCTGAGCATATGATTTGGTCTGAGGAGTATTTGGAGAAAGCAGTTCGTATGAAGATTGGTCTACAACCCCTACTTAATAGGCAATGATGAGCATCAAGGGCAGCACAACATGTTCAATAAGCAACGCCTTAGACAAGGCGGTTTGATTTCAGCCCTAAAAGTCAATGTGGCTGTTTAACTCCACAAAACTAGCTCCTGATAGCCAGTTACTGCAAAGGATGACTCCATCAAAAAAACAGGAGCAGCTCCTCTGGTTTCCTGCAGTATTTCATAAGCCCTGGCGTTCCATGCTATCACATAAAACCATACAGAGAAAGCCCAATGCAAATTCTTTTGTGAAATAACTTATATTTCTACTTCAAATATTTTGGATGAAATACACTACATACACAATGATACAAGCCCAATGAAATATTTTTGTTTAAAATAATTTTATTTGGACATTATTTCTTATCCACTTTTCTACAGCATAGCTAGTTTCTATCTTCCAATGTCATGAGGTAATAGAAATACTGAGGAGAGATAACTAATTAGGAGGCACCTCACTGATGAGCAATGTTTCTGCTGCTGCAAAAAGCATGCAGTAAGGAAACAATTTTGTTAGAATCATATTACTGAAGATAAACAAATATAAAGAGGAAAAAAAAAAAAAAGAACAAACAAACATAAGCTCAACTTTCAGATCTAAGGCAGTTCAGTTGATCTGAAATTAATTAATGAAGAGGATGAAATGCATTAAAAGTAGTCTGGACAGTTAGGTCCAGATTAAGTATGTACCACAAAGTGGACCTAAACACTCATTTCAATCAGAAAATTCTAAACCATGACTAAGAAATATCTGCCTTCATCATTTCCTACTAGCTAGCTTTGCTAACCCATTACTGCTGTTCTCAGTTCTACTTTGCAGCATTGTGCTCCCACCTACCATGAAAAAGGCACCAAGACAAGTTACGAATTGCACTCAAAATAAGGCAACCTGTTATTTCTTGCAGTTGGTAATGCACTGATGGTCCTCAATTTCACAAGTTTGAACTATTAAACACAGGCAAAGCTCTTACTTAACTTTCATAATTGATTCAAAAATACTACTTCCCCACCTTCTCAAATGTCCAGTGCTTAGAGCCTCTTATCAAGCCAGCTATGATTTCAGCTACACAGCGCTGGGTACTTTCATGGGAGTCTGCTACGAGGCGCTCCAAATGGGGCTGGAGAATCGGCAGGAAGGCATCATCGAAATTCCTGAAAAGGCCCTACAAAACAAACACGTGTCCTCCACAACTATTAGCCCATGCTACTTGCTTTGTACGAAGGATTGTAAGGAGTTAGGATTGTGAAGTATTTTAGACTTGAATATGCGGATAGTGAAAACAGTTTGTTTTATAATGCAAATACATCCAAGTGTCCGAAGGAAAAAGTGAGTAACGAAGCTCACCAAAGCAGAGCAACTTTATATCAATATACAGCAACAGAGTGGCATAAGCCAACAAGTGTGTAGCTTCTCCATACTGACTGGATAATCATCTACAAAGAGGAATGAATATAGTTACTGAAATGAATATAGTGAAAAAAAAAAAAAAACCTTGAAGAGGCAAAATCTGCGGGGATTAAATTTGTCCTTTCCTTTCCTGTCTTCTAAAGACAAAAACTTTATTAACTGCTCAACAAACTTGGGATCAGAGAAGTGATCATATATAATTTGTTCTGCCTGTAGGAAAGAAAAAAAAAAAAAAAAGGCAGGGATTAGCTTTGAGGTCCTTACTCACCACAGGTATATCCCAACCCTTTTAAGTCTCATTTTCTATTTTACTCCTATTTCTGGCAGAATTCACATCTAGTTTATCCATTTTTTCTCTTGTTTCAGAGCAAGCATTAGGTAATATTAGGTAAGAAAAACACACAATTTATGTGAGCACTCTCCAGAGAGCTATCAATATTTAAGTTAGAAAAGAAAAAGGTACTGTATTACCTCCACAGTAACCTGTGGACTACACTTGAAAGGAAAGCAGAAGGATAAGCATGGAGAGAGGTGAAAAAAGAATAAATAAGACATATACACACACACACACACACACACTTTGAAAACACTTACCTCTATCAGTTCATCTCTCCTCCGCCCCAGCTTTGGTTGCTGCTCAACTGGTGCATAAACTGTCATAGTTCTGAAGAATTAAAGAAGGTCCCAAAGTAAAATAAAGCTTACTGACAATTTGCTACATTAAATTAATTCTATAAGATTTATTAACTCCTAAAAAGCAAAACTTAAAAGAAAATTTATAACATAAAACCATCTGAAGTGTACCAATATAAGAATATTACAGCAAACAATCCAGGATCGTTGGTGATAGAATATTACACATATTTTGCAATCGTGTTATTTTTATACATGCATACCTCATTTTAAATCAATGTGCGATTTTTGACAGAAGCAGTTAAGTAGCCAAATTTTAGAAGTGCTTATAGTACCTACAAACCCTGAGGAAAGACAGGTTTGAAACTAAGTTATAATGACTCAAGAGCAGAAATGAAAGCAGAAAACACAAAAACAGCACAAAGGAAAAAATACTTTATGGTTTCAAATCAAAAAAAAAAAAAAAAAAAAAAGGATAAATGCAACAAACATAATATTTAAGTTGGCGCAGGTATATTTTTCCTCACAACTTCCACAATTCTATGCCAATACCCACGACTTATTAATACTTACTGAGGCCATGTATAGTATCCCCAGTGTGTTTTTTCCACAAAACAACATGATTCCCAAGCTTCCTTAGTCTTTGGTAAATTCTGACTGTCATAGTGCAGCCACTGGTTATCCAGTCTGTCACCAGCCTGCATGCTGGAAGGCTTAGGGTTTCCACCTGGTTAAAGAGGAATTTTGCATTTTATATTCTGTCAAACATGTCCACTCCGAGTCCTGGAAAACATTACAACTTTTAGCAGATGATATTATGAGCTTTTATGTCACTGGTAAGACATCTTTCCCAACAAGTGTATACAGAGAGAGGTCATTAAGCTTTTAATTACAGATGACTATGGATTTGGAAAGGGAGTTTGATCTTATTAGAAAAGGTAAAGGAAAAAAAAAGCCATACGTTAAGTCTACAAATGTCGAGCTCTAAACTGTACCAGACAGAAGGGAAGAGTTCATCTACATGGAAGGTGCAAATTCACTGGGCTTGGCTCAGAAGTGCCCTCTGGAAAAGCTTCTCTTCCTTAGGAGCCCAGGGATTAGATTCAGTTTAGTTTTTATTATAATTGGAGTCACTTAGTTATAGCCTGTAAATTGATGTGACTAATAAACAATATAAAGTTAAGACATGTTTCTATCTGCAGTTGTATCGTTACAAATTTTAGTCCAGTATGCACCCATACATCTCTAGTGTGCTCAAGTATTTAGTTTAGAAAATAAATAAATAATTTCGAATATTTCTTTTATTGCTGCATGCTCTCCAGCAGTTCTGAAGAAGTAAGGTATTAAAAATACTATTTTTTTTTTAAACATAACTAGATTCAGAGAAGGTCCTATATGGAAGTGATGAGGATTAGCTGGTTCTGATTTCAGTTACTGGATTGGTCTATTAATGTTTATCAGTTTCATAAATGAAAGGGGTTACAGAAATAGCACTGATTCAAAAGCTAAGAATAAAAAAAAAAAAAAAAAAAAAAAAAGCCCTCTAAGAACACGCAAGATTTGAGACTTATGGGAAGCCTTCAGCACTGGCAAAAAGCAGTAACACAAACATCCTGAAATTACATTATGGAAATAGAGATCAGAATAATAGTTTTCAGATATAGTGAAATTTTTGCTTGCGACTGTTACGCTCCAAGCACAAAGAGCAAGTTTCTTGATTTTTGAGTCAACATCTTTTATGTTAACTGCTGATTCATCTAACTTACAGCATTTAAATACATTTGAAACAACACTGATAGAAGATTCCTTTATGAGTTTATATAAATGTGTCATCAAAAAAAAACGATTAAAAGGGAGGCATATTAAAAAAAAAAAAAAAAAAAAAAAAAAAGGCTCCTGAAAGGAGAATGACCACGGCTATTTCTCTAAAGTTTTTCCATTTACTATAAACAAGCAAATAGTGTAGTATACATTTGCAAATGCTGTTTAAAAAATAAACTTTTCTGATTTTATTGTCTCTTCTGTTTGCTTAAAATATTAACAAAAAAAATGTGATTCAGTGCTTCATTTGATCATAAAAAATGTTTTAAAAAAACTGGCAGTAAAAGACTTCTTATTTTAAATAAAACTTACTAATTTCATAAGGACAGATGGGCACTTTCTTGTGTGTTCTCTTAAGTTGCTTGAGGATACCAGCCACTGCAGAGATGGCCACCTAGAAGAAAGAACAAGGGATTAATTTATCTGTTCCATGCATTTATCAATATGGGGATGTGTCTACTCATCACAGATTCATTTTAAGTCAATGACTCAGATTCCCAGAAAAAGAATGAACATTACAGGGAATTTTGCCGCATCAGTGTTTGCCACCTCCCATAAATCTTAGTCACTTCAGGGGATACAAGATAAGAACTAGCTGTGTTTTTTATACACCGCAAAAACCTCCCCACTAATCATTTTCAAGAGAAAAAGGAGGTGGCCATTTCTTGCAAACCTCATTGAAGAAGCGAGAAATATGAACATTAATGAATATGAAACAGTAGTGAATTCCTTCTGAGTAGTAACCTGCAGTTGGCCAAAAAAAAGTCTGAAGGAAATTCCATAAAAGAAACCTGCAGTGAGAAAGAACAAACAACTACACTGTATATTATTGCATCTTACAGGCTGTAAATCATATGTTATGGCTGCAGCACTGCCAAGACTGTCATGTTCTCAGAGCAGGCACTTATAGGCATATGTGACCGAAGGGGCAGGGAGGGATGTGTTCCCCATCTAGTCAGCTTTATCACAGCAAAAACAACAAACATCTGATCTAAAACCCAAGGAGCTGAAAATCAGAAGATGAAATTATGTTGGTTTTACCTTACGAACTACAATTGCATCATGGTTGAGACACTGCACGAAGAATCTTATGGCACGGACAGGCAGCACCCTGTCATCCCTCAGGAGCAGAGACAGAAAGCCAATGCTTATGTGCTCGAACTTCCAAGGACTAAAAATCAAAACAGAAAAAAAGCAGCAGCTGCACACATGGCTTTTACACAGACATGATTATACAGCAAACATATTTAGACTGACATAAATACTGTTCTATGACAGTGCTGTATTCAGTGCTATTCACTGCTATATTCACTTCCAGTTGCACTGAAGTGTCAAGATTGGAGAGGTATCTTTAATGTAAAATAGAGTCCTACACAGAAATTCTTTTAGAGCCCAACAAAATAAGCTGCCAATTAAATCCTATTTGGATTTCAGTGTTATGCATCCAGAAAAAGAGCTTCTGCACCCTCCCAGAATGAACAAATGATAACAAATAAAAAGATCAAACTAGTCAATAACAAAGCTAAACTCCAAGATTTGATGATACCCAATACTAACAAATATAGTTTCCAGTAAGAATAAATTTAAGAATCATTTAGTTCTTTAATGGTGCCGAGACATCATAATCCAAGTTTTCGCTACAGTAACCTACATCTTCATGCTTGGGCAAGCATAAGTCACTTGCAAACACATGTAGACTTACAGAAGTATAATAATTGCAATACCTTACCAAGTTGATTACAATAAAAATAAATATGCTGTCCCATCTTTATATACTGCTCCCGGCAAACTGCATTTGAAGTATATCAAGGGTGAAAAATATCCCTCAATTTCAGTCATGTTGACTACACCCCTTAATGCAATTGATATTTATTCAGGCTTTCAATTCACCTAAAGGTAAATTCTCACAGGCAAACACAGACTTACAGATTTCTTTGCTCCACACAGTCCAAAAGTCTGTTGACTAGATTTTCGTAGTGGCTGGAGGGAGAAAAAAGAAAAGAGAATCACCAACTAGATGCTATTGAGAGAACTGTCTAAACATAGAACCAAAACGTGAGTCAATATGACGCAGTAAATAACTTGGGAGGACAAGGAGGAGCAGGAAAGAGATTAAGTATAGAGGAAGGAGGATGCTGAGTGAGAAAACACCACGTGAATTTGTCTAGCTTAGGATTTAGTTCTGCAATTTGGGATTATTATATTTACTGTACAGTAAGCATCAGGTAATGCAAGCTGGCAGTCAGTGAAGTTAAACTTACCGCAGAGCTTCACTGTTCTTCTCTTTCTGTCGCTGAATTCCTAATTGAATTTCTTCGGAACAAGGCACCGTCAAGTCCGAACTAGGATGTTCTGATTTTTGTAGCAAAACAGCTATCTCAACACATTTCTCTGGAATCTATTGACAGAGCAGGCAAATATTTTGGACTGAGCAGAAATTTATAGTTTTGTTTCTGCTTTGAAATAAAGAGGACCCTGAATCATATGAACAGCAAAGAATTTCCTATCCCCAAAAAAGTAATCAGATTCAATTTATACTACCCAGGAATCCCTGGAGAAGCAGGGAAGAATGCTTTTCTGTTCACAAAGGACCACTTCTCCAAGCACATATTTTATTATATTTTAAAATAACTTAAAAGAGAAAAATATTTTATTGAAAAATTTAAAAAGCATTTATGAAATATTTTTATTAATTGATATCAATTCTTTAAAAGAGTACCATGGCATTTAACATGCTGTTTAGACAAGAGACAGTTGTACAAACAACTGCAAGCAGCGACGATGTCAGCTTGACCATACCATCCTACCAACACGCATCTTCACACCTGAGCAGCAAGAACCTGAATATGGTTTGAGCTTCCTTTCCATAACTAGTTTCCTTAGAACTTAAGAGTGACAAGTTCCAATAAAGTCATAGGAAGCTCTTCTACTTCACTTCCAAAAAACACAAACCTCCATTACTACATCACAAAATTTGGTCAGCATCAGAGATCTAATAACTCAAGTAATGTAAAGTTAGTCTCAAGCATTTATTCAATCAAATGTACTCAGAATTCAAACAATAACATAGCAATCTATCACTTACTGCAAAATCCAATCCAATTGTTTCATACTGCCTATGGATTTTTTCTGCTAAGTCATCAAAGAGTCTAACTATTGATGGTTTTTCCAGGGACATGGCTTTGCTAAGCCCAGAAGAAACAATGGCTGGCCATGTTTGTACAATGCAGTCCCAATCATGAAGATTTGCCAAACATACTCCACTGTGATTTCCAAGAAGACAATATAAGGCACCCTGTATCAAAAAAAAAAAAGAAAATTTTAAAAGGTTACCAAGTGTTATTCATATATAAATCATATCTTTGTAAGCATACACACACAGAATAATTGAATAATGAAATTAAATGAATAATGAAATTAAAAATAACACCAATTCCCTTTTCCATGGCATGGCTGAGTGATTTCTGAATTACATTATAAACTTGCTCAACAATTAGGGACTAAATCTACCCTTTCTGTGAAATTACTAAGATTAGACTGTGGTAAAAATGTTCAGGCTGTAAACAGGTAAGTCTAGGCCCACAACTGAAGTTATACTAACTGAAGAGGATGCTGGTAACTACAGGACATGACATTAGAAACTGGTGGGCATGACAATTATGTGGGATGCTGATGAGTTGCATGCAGAACCATGATGGATGGCTGGTTCTCACTGATTGTTAAAGGGAGTTACGCGAGAAATGGCTAAATTTTATAGGTAATTGCAGAGAAGTCTTGGGGACCTTCCATTAACCAGAGACTTGAAAGAACAGCACCTAGATAATCATAGCAGTAACATCACACAGTCTACAACTACTTTGGTAGCCGTATCAGAAACACCACATTTAGGTACTAATGTAGCAAAGACTGGAATCAGCTGCAGGCCAAGTACACTGAGGTGGAAAAATGGAAACAATAGGAAAAGGAGGATCAATAAAAGAGAAAAAGGAATATGAAATTACATAAACATCTTTTGCTGTCTGAGGGTATCCATCAGGAAGCTGAAACAGGACAATTGGTCAGACCTGTTTTTCTGACAATACTACAAGAATCTAAGAATTCCTTCTATGGTCAGGAAGGCTGACAGAGGCAAGAATAACAGGAAAAGCAGAGGTTAACGCTTTCCAGACCAGCAAAGGAACAGCTGGATGGTGTTCCAGGACCGCCTCCTGATATCATTTTGTCACAGCGTCAGTTCCAGATCTGACAGCATCAGCAAGTGCCCATCAGTCCTAACAAAAATCAACAACCCACCCTCCTTCCCCTGCCACTGTGTTAGCATCACTTTTGGATAAGCATTTTTTTGTCCAGCACTGACTATTCTCCTTCTTGCAGAGTCCTACTGCTTTGGATTATAGTTTCTCAATTTTTATTTCACAAGTTGAGAACAGGTGTTAACGAAAGCTTTTGTAATGCCTGAACGCATGATGAAACATAGAATATAGGTAAACTTCTGTTGACAACCAAGCTAATCCAAATAATTCCTTACATCAGTCCAGCATAAGCTGTATGCTGTGTAAGTATCAAAGTCATGCTGACAAACAAGCAAACCCCGTTTTTCATAACCACAGGTTCTCTATAGAAAGACTCTGAAAGTAAAATATAAAACAAAGTTCACGAGACAGTACTTTGAATTGCTGTTGTGTGACATCTTGCCGGTCTGGCCGCAAGAACTCCAAAACCAAAGGAATGATATCTCTGCAACAGAAATTGTAAGTTCCCAGAGCTGTGAAGAGTGCTTGCTGAGCTTTACTTCTGATCTGCGGGAAGAGATACATTGCCATCAAGTCTTCTGAATCAAAAAACATAGCATATATATATTTTATACATACACACACATATATATAAAGTATATTTTCCAGCTACTTATGTACAGAATTTATCTGATTTATCTTCACAAACACACAATTTAGTTATAGAAGGGTTTGTAACCACACGCTTCTCCCTCTCTCTTAGTAACCTGATTGCTTATTAAAAATAAGGGGGGGGGGGCAAACAAAAAGCACATCCTTTCCTGTTTCTAAGGAGTTCCTTGAGAAGAGCTACAAAGCTAAAAGGAAAACCTTTTTATTTCCAAAAACTGTCTGGGGCATGTCTATGAATCATACTGGGAATACAACACATAATAGTCTTCACCTGGCATTTTTATTGAAATCTTTTAGAAGTTCAGAATTGAATCCCTCAAAAAAAATTGATTTTTCTTCACCCGCTTACATTTCTCATTTTTCAAAGACACTATATTTTTAATGCGAAAATTAGGTCAAAATTGGCAATAGTTTTAATCATTTATTTCAGTCTGTTTAAGAAGAGCATCTCCAGCAGGTCAAGGGAGGTGATCCTGCCTCTCTACTCAGCCCTGGTGAGGCCACATCTGGAGTATTGAGCTCTGGGCTCCCCAGTACAAGAGGGATGTGGAGCTGCTGGAGAGAGTCCAGCGCAGGGCTACAAGGATGATCAGGGGCCTGGAACATCTGCCCTATGAGGAGAGGCTGAGGGAGCTGGGCCTGTTCAGCCTGGAGAAGAGAAGGCTGAGAGGGGATCTAATCAGTGTCTATAAGTACCTCAAGGGAGGCAGTGAGGAGGATGGGGCTGGCCTCTCTTCAGTGGTGGCCACTGACAGAACCAGAGGTAATGGCCACAAATTGAAGCACCAGAAGTTCCATAGGAAATTAAGGAAGAACAACTTTCCTGTGAGGGTGACAGAGCCCTGGAACAGGTTGCCCAGAGAGGTTGTGGAGACTCCTTCTTTGGAGATCTTCAAAACCTGCTTGGATGCAACCCTGTGTCACATGCTCTAGGTGACCCTGTGTGTGCAGGGGGGTTGGACTAGATGACCTCTAGAGGTCCCTTCCAATCTTAACTATTCTATGCTGCCATGGAAGTAAACTGAGAAATTAATATCCCGAAAAACTTACATGAAAGCAATGCAGGGGAGGAAGAAGGAAAACTGAAGAAAAAGTTATTTCTTACCTGACCATATGAACTTGTGGACAAACACAGAAGATCTCTGATCATCTCCTGGTGGGAGGTCTTGTACTCACAGCCTTCCATTGTTAGTGTTCTCAGCTAAATCACATAGAAAGACCAAACAAAAAAAGAGACTGTTTTTGTACTTGACAAATATAACAGAAATACTATTACAAGATTACTGCATCTTTTGTTAAGTGACAAATCAGCTTCTGCAGCGAAGTAGTTTATATAAAGTATTTCAAGACTGGAAATATTACCTCATGCTGCAACATAACTCTGTCTATTAGCAAGGCTCTGATATGCTGCTTCTTTCCTTGAAGCTGTAAGCAGATAATTCCGGTTAGGTTTTAATATTCCCATCATCAATCTGCACTGACTGAATATCCTCAACTACTATTCTTCTTTTAGAAGCAGGAGAATTTGATCTAGATATTATTCTCATCAGACAACCTTCATTTTTTGCCCTGTAAGGTTTTTCATTTATAACAATTATTTTGCATTTTGTTCTGGGGAAAAGTTCCTTCAGGAAAAAAAGGAAGCTACTCTACCCACAAGAACAAGAAAAAGGCATCCTGTTGTGTTATTTACTACTGTAGCAATCACTAATAAACGAATAAATAAATGGCATGGGTGTATCTATTAAGATACAAGAGATTTACAAAATTACAGTTAAAATGACTTCTGTAATTTGATTCCTTACTTATCATCGGTTTAAGAGTCAAAGCAAATAACTTTAAGTGGAAGGATTCTCCTTTACGTTCTTTGTGATATTCCTGTGTGATATTTTTTTGACACCAAATGGTTTTTACCATATTGTCCTTTAGATATTAACAGAAGACTTGGCATATATGAGCCTAGAAACAACACCACAGTTGACTGTCAAGATTTCCAACATTCTCAAAAATGCTGTCTACCTGCTTTCTGATTATTTGGGTAAAGCTGGGATTCTGCAACAGTGATGATAATCTCTAAAATAATTAGCCTTTCTAGCAGAACAATAATGTTTCCCTGAGATTGTGGTACAAGGATGTATAAAAACTGGGGGTTAATACAACTGAGAAATGCTGAACCACTTATCAATAAGATTCACAAATAACAGTACATAAACACTGCAAAACAATACCGTAACCAAGGAAATAAATTTCAAAAACTCGCAGGCTTCCTGAACCTTGTCCACACTTAAGCTTTATAAAGCAAAGTTACTGACCCTGTTCTCCATTGATTTTTTCACCAAATTAAAGCTTTTCCATCGTGAGTCAAACTCATGCTTATGAGATCCTTGAAACTGTAAAACGTCACTAATGATCTGTAAGGAAAAATATGTCAAATGCGATTATTTTACAAAACCTAATCACCTCATTTGAACTATTACAATTACTGAATTATAAACATACCTTTATTATCACAAATAAGGACTTGGTATCATCTTCTGAATTATCGAGTATATAGCCTGTAATTAGAAGACAAATAATTTACTGTCAAATATGAGAACAGCTTTAAAAATTAAGAACATTTCTATAAAGCTTAAGTTTATATAGATTAAATAAGTTAGTCAGCTTTTGTCTATAAAAGCACACTTAAAAGTACAGCATTACTTTTCAGACAGAGAAGGAACAGTAGTACTTACGCAATAGTTTCCTTGTAACTCTTGCAATTGCCTCTCGATAATTCTCTCTTGATAAATCTGTACAAAATCAGATATATTCTCTATATTATATAATGGCGTAAAAGAAACAACTTAAGAGTTAGCAAACCAGGGGAAATACTGAGTACTGGGAACACTAGAAACTGTGATAAGGACTAAAATAAAAATGACCATCTTGTATGTCTTATTAAGTATGTTTTTAGATATGACAACAGTGATATTAAGACAAAAGAGGGACTGTCTTCTTTATCTGCATCACTTCTAACCACAGAATGAGGCAGATTATGAAAAACTGGGTAAAAATAAAAGCCAAGGGATCACAATTCATCAAGCCACTATAGGAGTTACTTACCATATTCAACACCAGTATAAAGTTTTGTCTCTTCCAAGGACACCAGACTTGGAACCCTACAAACAAACAAACCCTACAATCAAAACAAACTAAATATTATCATACATTAAGGAAACTTAATTATGTAAATTTCACTGACATTAGAATCATTTTTAACAAGATAGATTTCAAGCCAGTAACGCCAAAAACATTTGAATTTGCTAACAGTATGCATCAGCTCTCTAACATTTATAAATTAAATGCACCATAGAGAAATCCTGAACCCACAATCTTGGTTTCTCATTTAAGAAAAGCTCATGGGTTCTGTTAAGTGGCCAGTGACTCCACTGCACTGGCAAACCTATGAAAACATTCATCAAAACACATGTGATTCCTAACTGTAAACTAGTAAGGACAGATGAATTAGACTGTTGATTGTAAAGGGTCTTTGAGACAGAAGACTTTCCTGATGCATTAAATCAACAAAGGTTTGTTCTAACTTTGGTCCTTTCTTAATAAAGTTCAATTTATTCATTATCGTCAGGATCACTATTTAGTGCTGTATGTAATTCACCATTACTCTCTATGCCATAAAACAACGGTACGCTTCTGCAGAATTCAGGTACGTCTCATTAATTCAACTGTTTTAAAAATAAATGCTTGGGTCTTGTGGATTTGCTTTATCCATAACCATGCACAAAACAGAGGGAGAATCGGACACTTGTTAATGAATTTAAGATATGTATCCTACATATTTTCATTTTTTTTTCCTTTTTTTCCCTCCTTAAAACTACGACCTCCCTTGAAAGCATTACAGATGAATTCCAACTTTCAAGAACAAAAAATAAGGTGCTTTTGGAAAAAAAGAAGCAAAAAATCCTGCACAGTTTTATTAAATGAGTAGTATCAGAAATAATCATTTATTTATGTAAAACTGCATTGATAGTATGATCAGAGTAAACAAAAAGCCAGATGAAGGAACATGAACTTATTACTATTACATCGATTATGCATCCGAGCACATTCTATCAAATAGTAAAATAAGCCTCCAAACTTCAGGCAATTGCAAAGCTTTCTTTGCCTATTTCTAATTGATCTGAGTATTAAGCACAGACATTCTCATTTCATTTTCCTTGTTGTATTTTCTAGCAACAGAGTGAAACTTGAAAATAAGCCGTTCTAATAATTGTACTAGTTTTCCTCCTTCCAAAAAAAACCAAAACCCAACCAAACACCAACCAAAAAAATCACACACCAAAAATTCACATCTCTACAATCCACACTCAGCACTGTTAAGTCCTCAAAGTACAACTTGGCCACCAACACATTTTTCAGTAACCAACCTCAACCTAGCATGTTGCTCCTTCTAAAGTCTACATGAAGATTTGCGGCATCTCACACTCCTTTTGGTATGGTCTATACGACTGATTCAGAAAAGAGTTTTAAAAAAGATCTAATTAAGAGAAATACCTCTTTGAAATACTCAGAAGGGAATATTTCTGAACTTAACCTCTAAAAACAAGGGGAATCACCCCACCACCAAATCTCCCTATAGAAATAGGTAACAGAGAAATGCAACATTAGGCAGTTGGAAACACTAAAGTAACCCATTTATTTTATACAGCATGCTGGATACATTGACAGCTAGATGAGGCCATGGTAGCAAAGTATTTCTACAGTATTTTAAAACAGTTTTGCCCTTAAACAGCTTTCCCTGATAAAAATGAGAGAATTAATTTCCCATAAGGTTTTCCTATCTATGAAGACAGTGATGAAAAAAATGCTCTTTCCTAGCTTTTTCCCCAGGTAGTCTACAGAAAGATTACGGATCTTTTCTTCCCTTCCATTCCCAGCAAACACAGCTACCTTTGCCACCTAGCCAAGGTCCGAAACAGAAGTCTACATTTTAAAACAAAGCTAAAAATAATACCGAGATCTCCCTACTTTGCAGTTCAGATGCCTGGGCCGAACAGTAACAATTCCTCAACTTGTAACAGCCATAAACCAAGAACGAGACTGGGATATTCCTTACAACACTCCACTGGCAAAGCTATTAATTTCAATAGGGCTTTCCACAGGATCAAAGTATTTCATTGCTTAAAAAAAAAAAAAAAAAAAAAAAATATCCCTAAGCTTCCCATATAGTTAGTGGTAAAGTACGTCCCCTACAAATCTCTACAGCTTCAGAAACGCTTGAAAATGCACTGAAGAGAAGCCTCTCCTCTACAAGAAAGATGCTCACACAGGCTAAGCTTGTAAAATAAAACATCTGAAACAAAATCACTCCTTGGCACTTTTAGTAGCTGGCATTTTGGGAAAAAAAATTCAACAACTTTACAGGGCTCAAATGCAGACTTAGGCTATAAGCTAAAGTGGACCCTCCCCCCACCCCAGTACTTCAAAACATGATATGCAACAATAGGAACACTGGGATCAAATTAACATTGGCCTTTAACGCTAATCTTTCAGCTTTATTTATTGAAACAGCCCAGACATAAGAAACAATCCCATGTACTAAACACT